CCATAGTAAAGCATTGGATTGGTTGAGATCATGAAGTTTTATCATCTCAGCCATGGAGGCGTGCAAGAAAAGGTGAATAAAATCACCTTTTTACTGAAATTGGAGGGGGGCAAGGTATCTAAATGTTTGTATTCTTGACACAAATAGTGATTATATATATTTGGTTAACTGATAAAAGTTATACCATAAGAGACTTTATCGGATGTAACACCACTAACGTTATCTACTTATTGGAGTGCCCTTGTGGCCTCCAATATGTAGGCATGACCACCAGGTGCTTAAAGATAAGACTAGCAGAACACTGCAGGAATATTAGAAATGGGTATTTAAACCACTCTGTATCTAAGCATTTTATTAACCATAATCAAGACCCTAAACTTCTCAAATGCTTAGGTATTCAGAAATGTAAAATACCTTGGAGAGGTGGCAATATAAAAAATATTCTTGGTAGGTCAGAGATGGAGTGGGTATTTAAGTTACAAACCCTAACACCCCAAGGTCTTAATGTAGATTTTGATTTATTTAATTTTCTATAACAATTTTCAGTACTGTTTGATTTTACTTATCTATTTATTATTATTTAATAGAGACTGTATTTATTATATCATTCATTATTTATTATTCTATGGGAGGATCTTCCTATTGCAGATCCTATATGATTGTATTAATTCACTATTTGTTTATACATCATTACTATTTCTTTCAAAGGTGATTTTTAACTGTATATGCCATTTATTCTAATGTATATCTACCCTTATTCTTTATTTATTCAATTTAATTCATTTTTTCATTTCCCCTACCCTGTTACTACATTTCCCATCATTCATTGAGATTCCGATCACGTGACCCGCGGGTATCTACATTCGTCGTGCCGCGGGTCACGTGACACAGTTTAGTCCCGCCTTGCCGTCCGTGCGTGCCATTCTTCTTTCCACTGGCCGCACGGACTGTTTTCATATCGGCAGACACTAGCGGTCACGTGACCCGGCGCACTACAGATACCATGGTGCATTGCGGGTCACGTGACACGCTCAAGATTTCGTTATCTATTCAATTTGTCTAACATTACAATATACAAACCTCGTTTTCTAATTATATTAACACTCATAACTCCTTATGTTCAAATAGGTTAATACTGTGCATTATTGTTAAATTTTGTTTATGTACTTTTTATTTATATTCAGCTCTGCTCTGATTGGTGCCTGCTTTTTTGGCGCCAATTTTGATTGTATGTATAAGCTATATATACTCCCTATGTGCCAGGGACTTACACTATCCCAATTTGATAAAGCCTGCTGGCGAAACGCGTTATTGGTTTTAATATATTGTATTAATAAATAATAATTTTACATATATTACCTTTCTATACTATTTTATTCTGTTCCTGGCATATCCTAAGGTGGGGATTATACCACCCACGCGAACAACAGAGTGCAGTAAGTCCTGCACTCTATTTGTGAGTATATTTTATTTATTTTTATCCTTTTATGCTATTATTTCTCCGGAGAGCACTATCGGCTGTTTTTATTTATTTCTTTTTATGAGAATTGGATACCAGCACCCCCCAAGAGGAAAAGTACCCCTATAAGCGGAGGGTAATCCGCTGTGTGCCTATCATACTAGAGCTGGTCCTAGCTCATGGACATGTGAGTGTGCAATTTATATTTTAACCTCACTATTATTATTTTTCTGTACATTCTGCACGATTAGTCCTTTCCCATTGTGTTTTTCATATCGGGAGATGGACAACTGTTAACAAAGAAGATACCACATCAGCCAAGACACCACCTACCATTGGGACTTTTATACTGAATATATAATATTTTTATTATTTATTTTATTTTCTCATCGAGTTTTATCTTTTCTTGTTTTATTTATTTTCTGTGGCGCAGCCTTTTTTCTGTTTTCTCTGTATATTTGTTCTATAGAGGGTTAGAGGGTGACCCCCTATTAGGTTGCTGCCTTTTATTTCATTTTATTTGTTTTTATTTGCTTTTAATATTAGCGCTAGCCGTTCCAACTTTTTCTGTGCCCTGTGCAAAAAGTCTTCACGGCGCCCCCCCCACCTCCCACCAAGTTGCCTGAATACAGTAACACACACAGGCACCGGGGACGTGTGTATCATGAGGCAAACAAGGCATCTGCCTTGGGCGCCACTTTGCAGGGGGCGGCAAAAAAAAGCATCCCTCCAAACCCCCAGGCAGATCCCTTGCTTGCCTCGCATCCTGGGGGGCTCAAGAGCTGACCGGCTGGCCACTTTTGAGCCCCCCCAAGGCTGGCAGCGGGCAGCGAAGGAGCATACTCACCTGAGCTCTTCCTGCTCAGCTTCCTCTGCGCCGCTTAATGAAGCCGGGAGCCAGAATATGACGTCAGTCCGGCTCCCGGCATCACTAAGCGCTGCTTACTCAGCCTGTGCGCCCCCTGCCTGCCTGCCCAGCAGCCACACTGGACTGCTGGTAAGAAATCCACTCCAGCTTTCCCAGGGAGGCTGGGTGGATTTAAAATAAATGTAAAAAATATTAGTTTGTGAGTGTTAGTGGAAATGTCTGTGTGTGTGTCTGTGAGTGTTTATTTTGAAGTGAATGTGTGTGTGTGTGTGTCTGTAAGTGTGTAATTGTGTGTGTCTGTAAGTGAATGTGTGTGTGTCTGTGAGTGAATGTGTGTGTTGGTCAGTGAGTGTATATGTGTCAGTCAGTGAGTGTGTATGTGCCAGTCAGTGAGTGTGTATGTGCCAGTCAGTGAGTGTGTATGTGCCAGTCAGTGAGTGTGTATGTGTCAGTCAGTGAGTGTGTATGTGTCAGTCAGTGAGTGTGTATGTGTCGTCAGTGAGTGTGTATGTGTCGTCAGTGAGTGTGTATGTGTCGTCAGTGAGTGTGTATGTGTCAGTCAGTGAGTGTGTATGTGTTGTCAGTGAGTGTGTATGTGTCGTCAGTGAGTGTGTATGTGTCGTCAGTGAGTGTGCGTCTGTCAGTGAGTGAGAGTGCGGCCTTGGCAGGAAGGGGTGGGGGAAATTTAAACTCGGTTATAGGCATGTACACACACACTCAGTTAAAGGCAGTCACACATACAGGCACAGGCACAAACAATGGCACAGCTACAGCGACACACACAGACAGTCACATAGGCAGTCACACACACAGACAGACACACAGTAACACACACATAGACAGTTATACACACACATGCAGGCAGTCACACAGATAGAAAGTCACACACACAGGCAGGCAGTCACACACAGACAGATAGTTACAGACAGACACACAAAGGCAGGCAGGCAGTCACATACAGGCAGTCACACACACAGGCAGTCACACACACAGACAGACAGTCACACACACAGACAGTCACACAGACAGACAGTCTCACACACACAGGCAGTCACACACACGGGCAGTCACACAGACAGACAGTCACACAGACAGACAGTCACACAGACAGTCACACACACAGGCAGTCACAGGCAGGGCAGTCACACACACAGTCACACACACAGACAGTCACACACAGGCAGGCAGTCACACACAGAGACAGTCACACACACACACAGAGACAGACAGTCACACACACACACACACACAAGGACAGGCAGTCACACAGACAGACAGTCACACACACACACAGACAGACAGTCACACAAACAGGCAAACAGTCACACACACACACTTACCTCTTTCCAGTGGATGCAGTTGGCTGATGGGGAAGCATCTTTCCCTCTTCCTGTACAGCAGGGGCTTCGGGAGGTATTAGCCCCGTCTCCGCCTCTCGATAAGCCCCGCCTCCGCCGCTCGGTAAACCCCGCCCCCTCTGCCGCGATTTTTTTTTTTTTTTTTTAAATAGACCTGGGTGGAGAACAATTAATCCTCCAGCCAGGTACCTCTTTTAGCTCCCCTGCACTCCGGCCATGAGTGAGCTGTGTCGGCCACAGGGCGCCCCCTGTTCCATGGCGCCCTGTGCGGTCGCACAGCTCGCACACCCCTAAGGCCGGCCCTGTTTCTATAACATTTAAATACAGTCAAGCCACTAGACTTGCTTTTCCCACAGAAATCTCACTTTAACAGTGCTCTCACTACTGCAAGGGATTCTGGTTAGGCATTTGCAAATGAGCTCAAAAATGAACCACATTTTTGCCTCATAATTCCACTTTATACATGGATACCATCGAGTCTTGTTTGCTGTATACAACAGCTTTAAAACAACTCAGGAAGAGGAGCAAAGCCAGTGAACCACCTATGGCCAGCCCTTTCATTATTAATGAAACTAATCAGCATGAGGTTGGTTACTGGCTTGCTATGGAGGCTTGGCGTTACTTGTGAAGTACATACCAAAAGAGTTGTTCTTTGTTGAGCTCATTTGCATACACCTACCCATATAGTCAATACATTGCTTAACACAAATACACACACTCTCTCACTCCCTCTCTCTCTAGTTAATTAAATCCAAATGCTAAAATCAACGCAAGGAGTTTGCTTAAATTTTAAAATTTTTAGTTAAATGAAAACTCCAAACACAGCTGCTGTAGTAGTTATGGTGTCAGGAGTGGCCTATAGCCTTTCCAGGATAAGTAGTCAAACTGAGAGTGCTTTGACAACTTACCTGGCCTGCAATGGCTGCTGCACCTTCTCTATACATAGACACTTTAGTACTGAGCTAAGCGCCCTAGGGTGCAGGATAAACTCTTGGGTTGGGTGTTCAACGCTTGCAGCCAATGAGGGGCACTACACACCTGAAGAGGAGGACACCAATGAAAACTTTCTCAAATGATTTGACTACTTACTCTGCGTGGGGCCCAGGGCACTACTGTCACCATAACTACTACACCAGGCTGGAGTGGTTATGGTGCTTGGTTGTCTAAAGTTTGGGATTTAGTGAATAACCCTGTCTTGGTGCAAAGTAACTGTTCTTTAACCAGTAGGAGGAAAGATAAATCCGTGACAGGGTCCCCTGACTACCTGGATGACTGTAAAGGTGCAGTATTCTAGCTGTCCATCAGTAAAGCCCTTTATAAATGGATGTCAGGGAGTGCGGCCGGCGCTAGGACCTGCTTGCCGGTGCTCACTTACAGAGCCCCTGGAGATGGCTGCACCTGGCGCCCAGTTCCCTGGTTCCAGTCCCCGCGCTCTCTCCCCTGCTTCCCTGTGCTCAGTGTATGAAGCGCCTTCCACTGCTGAAGGTTCCATCCATAGAACGAGAACCCACTCCTTCCCCGGGTCAACGTTCCATCAGCTCAGCCTCTAATGGCCGGCGAGGGGCTGGAGGAGGAGGAGCTCTGGCTGTATGGGGGTAGGTGGCCACTGCCTGCTGCTGGGCTGGGCTGAGCTGAGGGAGTGCTCAGAGTGGGCTTTACGGGGAAGCGCTTAGTAACAAGGAGCGTGATGTGATTTGTGCTGCTCACTAGAAGGCATTGGGGACAGGATGCTGAGAATGATGGGATTTGTGTATACTGGGCTGTATTCTGTAACAGGATGCTGAGCATGATGGGAATAGTGTATACTGGGCTGTATTCTGTAACAGGATGCTGAGCATGATGGGATTAGTGTATGCTGGGCTGTATTCTGTAACAGGATGCTGAGCATGATGGGATTAGTGTATGCTGGGCTGTATTCTGTAACAGGATGCTGAGCATGATGGGATTTGTGTATGCTGGGCTGTATTCTGTAACAGGATGCTGAGCATGATGGGATTAGTGTATGCTGGGCTGTATTCTGTAACAGGATGCTGAGCATGATGGGATTAGTGTATGCTGGGCTGTATTCTGTAACAGGATGCTGAGCATGATGGGATTACTGTATGCTGGGCTGTATTCTGTAACAGGATGCTGAGCATGATGGGATTAGTGTATGCTGGACTGTATTCTGTAACAGGATGCTGAGCATGATGGGATTAGTGTATGCTGGGCTGTATTCTGTAACAGGATGCTGAGCATGATGGGATTAGTGTATGCTGGACTGTATTCTGTAACAGGATGCTGAGCATGATGGGATAAGTGTATGCTGGGCTGTATTCTGTAACAGGATGCTGAGCATGATGGGATTAGTGTATGCTGGGCTGTATTCTGTAACAGGATGCTGAGCATGATGGGATTAGTGTATGCTGGGCTGTATTCTGTAACAGGATGCTGAGCATGATGGGATTAGTGTATGCTGGACTGTATTCTGTAACAGGATGCTGAGCATGATCAGCACCCACCTGTAATAGCTTCCTGTCGTAGTTTTTGATTTTTAAAAAATAATTGGTGTATTTTATTAGACCAACAAACCTTTTGCACATTGCCTAATACAGTATACTAACTTGGAAAATACACGATTTCTAAATGTGCAGTTTTCTACCTATCTGTTCGAGCTCAAATCACAGGTTATTCTGTGCTTACTGCTCTGAAGTGTATAGATAGGTAAACTGGGCCATTTATTTCTGATATCCTTTTAACTATTTTTAGCAGAGCAACAACAGCCAGGCCTCCATCACATCTCTGGAAACTAGATTGCTTAATAGGTGAATTGATTTTGATAATGTACCTGCGCTAAATTATCAGAAAACATAAAATATTAAAAATATTCATAGAGACCATATAATGCTTCTATATGTTTTTGTTTTTTTTCCTGCATTAAATGGTTTTCTGGTGTACCTTAGTGGCCAAGGTAACAAATCCCACTGTTTTAACACTTGCCCTGGTGGCTGTGCAGTGGGTTATCGGCATAGCAATATTTCCCACACATCCCTTAGTACATGCTTTCAAATAAACATTAATTCCCATTAGACAGATCAAGGTGTAACACTAATTGATCCCTATACTATTACTGTGAGGTTTTTAATTGCTTTGAAATGCCCACACCAGGGGGTCTGTGTGTTTCTCCTCTTTGAGACAATTGCAGAATATATTGAGTTAAGATGAATACGTAGAAGCAACTGTGTACCATTGTTGGCAAAAAAAAAAAAAAAAAGCAATGAAAGTTAATTATAGCAAAGTGCTCTACTATAGACAATGTTACAAAACCTGTAGACTTACTGTGAAATATTATCTAAAGAGGGAATCCGTTTTTGCTGTTTTTAACGGAATTTATCAGAATTTTTAAAACTACAAAATTTGCACAAACCCTATATCATGCATATTAAAGTGCTATTTTCACCTGTGGCGTTTTTTTTGTTGTTTGTTTGTTTTTTTACTAATTCCCAAAAACCAGGGCTGTACTTTGGGATTCAGGACTGATGGCAATAATAGTATTATAGGTTGTGTGAAAAGGGTGGGTGTGTGGTGTATGTTGTGCTTGCTTAAGAAAAGGGAAGCTTTTTAAGCATGTGAATATCTGAATTATTCTTCTTATAATTATCCTGTGTCAGACAGTAAAAAGGAAAAAACAAAAACAAATATCTTGCCCATGGGTCGGCAAATGAGAATCATTTCTTTTTTTTTTTTTTTATGTCATTTTTATAACAAGTAAGTTATAACAAATTCTAACATTGACAACACATCGCAAATGTGAGGGCGGCAATAAAAGTCAAGCACCATGATATATATCCAAAATTCCAATCCAAGTCTTCACTACAACGGTACAATGATATCTTAATCTAGGACTGCTCGGAGTCCATTTTCTTATAAGGGTATTATCATTATACCTGAACGTTCAGAAATACAGAGATGGTACTACTTTGTTATAGGCAAGTATCAACTTTTCCACCTTGTTTGGTGGCTTTCACCCTTACTGCCCTGTTGTGTTTTTGTACCCCACCTCCTCTAGACTGTAAGCTCTTTTGAACAGGGCCGTCATCTACCTATTGTCTGTGTCACTGTAACGGTCTCAATTATTGTAAATTCCCCGCCTTTCATAATATTGTAAAGCACTGCGGAATTAGTTGGCGATATATAAATACCAATTATAATAATATCATAAGCTCTTACTTTTCTATCACTCTTCCTTCCGGACTGCACAGTGAGTGGCTACTGATCTGTAAAGACTCGTGAAGGTGTCCAGTGTCTTTATGGTCAGGTGTGTTTCTGGTGGAATAATATTTATCAGTGTGGGTATCGTCAGAATAAAACCATTACTTTAAAATTGTGGTAAAGAGACTACTTATCGTGTGAATATTGGTGGTTCGATTGTGTTGTGGAAACTATGTCAACCTCGTACACGGTAGTATTTTCATTCTTTGTCCACCATCTCTGTTGCTAACCTGTGGGTGAAAGGTAAGGGGTGGGAGACAAGTAAAGGGTGAGTAACTGTATACAATCATGATATTATTTGAGTTTGGTTGTTAATGCAGAGAAAAGATGTGAGACGAATATAGGTAGAGAAGAAAGAGAAAGGAAAAGAAAAAGGGGGGAGGGGGATATTTTTAAATATTAGTAAGGGAGGTGAGGAGGGGGATAAGGGCAGTCAAGTTTCCCCAGTCCATGAGTTGCGTAATGTCTGCAGTCTCAGGCAACAGCGAATCAGAGATTTATAGAGTTTAAGACCAATAATAATCTATGGGTCACATACTTGTGGAACACTCTTGGGGTATCATTTATTTGGGCTGGCATCTTAGCCATTTCTAATGCTTCTCTGATTTTGCATTTCACTGTGACCATTGAGGGTGTCCAATCTGACCACAGTTCGGCCAGTGCCATAACCATCACTATACTTGCTGCATATTTATTTTTATTTGTAGTGAGGGAAACTAAAGGTTTGGAAAGCAGCAGTGCACATGGACCTGCCGGGAAAAGTTTTTCTAGTACCTGTGCTATGAGAGATTGCACTTGTGACCAAAATCTCTGTAGTTTGAGGCATTGCCACCAACAGTGCAAGAAAGTACCATGGTCTCCCCAAGTTTCCAACATGTGTTGGTTGCTATCCGGCCCATCCTATGTTGTTTATAGGAGGTGAGTTACCACCTGAAGAGCATTTTGTAAGCATGTTGTTTGTGTATTACACAGATGGTTAGATCTCCGATTGCCTCCCAGATCTCCGACCAGAGAATGAATTTTGAGAAGTGAAGTAACAATTATTGAAATGCTTAAATCAACTTACTGCTGAGGTTCCCTAATGGAATTTTAATATTTCCAGGTTCTCCAACTTGTGATGAAGAAGATGGCTCCACTCCAAGGTAAGCATTGCTCAGTTTTCACATGACGAAAAAGAGATGAGATTCTTTCTGAAACTATATATCTAAAATATGCTGTAGAAGTTTTCATGGATAAATCTGACTTCTTCACATGGGTCCTTCTAGATCTTAATGGGACAGTGTAAGCACGAAATCGGTGGTAGTTTAATGATGTAGTTTTGGTGTATGGGTGATGCAGACTTGCTGCTCAATTCTCTCCCCTTTTGGGAGTTAAAGAAAACTATAGTATTAAAGAATACAAACATGTATTCCTAACTCGAGTGTTCTGATAACCCCCCACTCTCCCGTTAGCATTAAAAATGGAAGACTTACCTAGCTTTTAAGCTTTTAGCACTCTGCACACTGTTCTCGAAATTGCCTGTACTGCCTCCTTGGCTGAGATTATCAATGCCAATCCAATGCTTCCCAATAGTACTGGGAGTCTAATGCTCATGTGCGGAGAAACAGGATCTTTTTATAGAGATGAGTTGATTTATTGCACCCCTGTGCAGTGGTGTATCTTGGTTTTGTGCTGCCCTAGGGAGGACAAAACTCAGACATCACCCCCACACAACCCTTCCCCCCCCGCCCCGCCTTCTAAATACACACACATTCACTAACAGACACACACACAGTCAGACACACACACTAACAGTCAGACACACACACACTAACAGACACACACACACAGTCAGACGCTCACTTTTCTTTTTTTTATTTAACCCCCTGGCCTCCTTACCTTTGGCAATGCTGGGGGGGGGGCGGGAGGTTCTCCCATTCCCTGGGGGTCCAGTGGCTGCTGGTCAGTCGGGCGGCGCTGGCGAGGGAGCACTTTCCTCTGAGCGCTCTACTTCTCTCCCATCATATTCCAGCTCCCGGCATCAATCTGCGGGCGGCACGTGAGGGAGCTGAGCAGAGCGCTCAGAGGAAAGTGCTCCCTCGCCAGCACCGCCCGACCAACCAGCAGCCCACACGCCCAGCCGGCTTGTCAGTTAGCCGCAAAGCTAACAAGGCATTTGCCCTGGGCATTTGGGGGTGGCTTTTTTTGCCGCCCCCTGGAAAATGCCGCTCAAGGCAAATGCCTTGTTTGCCTCGCGCTTGAAACGACCCTGCCTCTGTGGGGAGTGTTTAGCATTTCCATTTATAGTACAATGACAATACCTCCTCCAGGAAGTCCCTCTAGTGGTTGTCCAAGCAATAAAAAA